AAAAAAAAAATCATAAGATATACAATAAAAAGTTGCAAATACTTTAGAACTTGCCATTTGATAGCAGAATTATCTTTTATAAATGTATAAACCATGGTATGGGAAAAATAGCAAAGGAGAGGCAAAGAGAATTAATATTTATTTTTTCCTTACTATGATCTAGAGACCATGCCAGTTATTTTACATACACTGTTTAAAAATTATATTTGGGAGTGAATATTACTACTTTTAAAGAACGATTAAATAATATGTCAAGGAGAGGGAGCCAGCAGCACACATTCATATCAAAATGAACACTTTCCACTGCTTCTTCTTGTAAGTAAAGTCACAAGTAGGCAGACCTGAGCTCAGTTGCTCTAGCAGGCACCCTGATAGCAGGATCTCTCTAAGGAGGTGTCTGAGCAGAGGTTGGAAAGGTTCTTGTCCAAGGAGGCTGGGAAGAATGGGAATTCTATGATTTCTGAGCAGCCCTATAGAGGTCTCTTATTTCAAGTATGCTGTCTGGTGTGATTTTTTATGGTACAATGACTCAAAATTTTGGTTTTGAGGCATATCAGTGGTCCTCTTTTTATTGTGCTGTAGTGGTCTTCCACTGACCTTTGCAAATAGCCATGGAAATACTAAGAGATAATTCAGGGAATCCCATCTTCCCTGGGAAGTAAGAATCAATGACTTGCATACTGGGGTAACCCACTTACCTGACTGCTGATTCGCTTGCCAAGAACTAAGGTCTCTACACAAGCAAAGCTCAAGATTTTGGAGACAAAAGCAAAACCCTGTGTGGGTCATTGGGTATCAGCTGGAGGGTCATCTACTCCCACCACTCTGCTTCTCAAACCATGTTCTCTAGCTATGGGGATAGAGCACCATATGTTCATTGCTGGTTTAAAGCACAGGCTACATCCTGTAGGACAGCATCCTGATCTTGCAGGGTTCCTCTCAACTGCCATTATTGTTCAATCCTCAGTAAGCTATCCCACAACTTTTGTAGGCCAGCTACTTCTGGGTGATGTGGTACCATTGCTGCACTTCTTTTGTGGTGAAATGTGTTTGCTGTTTAGAAGCAATGTGGTGTGGGTTACTGAGGTAGGAAATAGACCCTGTGAGTTCTGCTAATCCACAGAGTGGAGGTGGATGGCAGTGGGCTGGGAGGGCAGAACCATGCCAATACATATTCCCCAAGGCAAATTAACAAGATCTTGCTTTCCTTTGTGGCCATCTGCTATAGGAGCCTGCCTGGCAGTTCTCTCTCTGGCTGTCCTGGGATCTGACTCTTCTGGTGCACCTGGAGAAGAGGAGGGATGCTAGCAGTGTATCTTGGTAAGTTGAACCATTTGCTTTCCTAGATTCAGAAATTCATTACAGAGATCTTAGGAGAAGGAATGGTTATTTCTTCCAGTGGCTTGGTTGGGGGAACACTTCCACAGGCTAAGGAGATTAGAAGAAATTAGCATGTTTAAGATGCTGTTTACCTGCATCTGAGTCCACCCAAATTCAGCTTACCATATGAAGATGCTTTGATGGGTGGAGGGAGGGGGATTAGAGGGATCACTTCTGAGGTTTATCTTACAGGGGTACAAGTGAATCTTTCTAAGAGTAGAATGTGAACGTTTTAAAACAATAACTGAGAAAATGACATGAAGGCTGTGTTGACCAGTTTGATGGAAGTATTTCGGATTGCATGTGAAAACCCCACACTATACCCCAGAAGTGCATTAATGTACATAGTTACCATTCAATAAAAAAAAAAAAGAAGATGCTTTGAATACTTCTCACTATAAAGCTGCTGGAGGGGCCCAGAGGCTTTCTCTCCAGGGAGGTGTCTGAGCACAAATTCATCTTTTTTCAGGAAATACTAGGAAGTCATCTTCCGGTGGGTGTGTGTTATAAGACATTGCTGGCCTGGCGGTCGGTCAGAGGGCGTGGGTTCTATCCAGGCACTGTCCTAACTTCTGTGACTCCTTTAGTCAGTCACTTCCATTTCCTGAAATTGGTCTTCACTCCCTCTCTCAGAGGAGGATGAAAGCCTTCAATAATATTTTTCAAATTTGCTTTAAGCCACAGAGGCACTTCCTCAGAGTGAATATAATACATAAACTGATTATGTATGTGACTGGCAATGTTTAAAAATAGTAATCTCTTGGTTGGCTTTCTGTGCTTTCCTTTTCTGTCTTTTCCAGTAAAGGAGTCAGATCTCTAGTATGCCTTAGGTGCAGGGCGTTTTTTTCAGCAATGAATCAGAAATTGTGTGACATCCACTGCTCTTCCCTCATAAAACCTGCCCAAAATTGTTAAGAGATTGTGTTGCATCGTGCTTTGTATACAATACCATGTGGAAGGCCTTTGAGAGTTACCTGATCCCAGGGAGAGATTTTTCCCCAGTGTCACAAAAGTGCAGTGCTGTGTCTACCTGGGATGGAGGCGTTATCAGCCCAGAGCTGGAGCTTATGCTCTTCTTCCAGTCAGCGCTTTGAGTTAGTGGCAAGACGTTGAATGGGTGGCAAGGTGAGCTCAACTCAAGGAAATGCTCATTCAAAAAAGGTCACATAGTCTATCCATGGCCTCCAAGCCAAGAACTTCCTAATGTTGACAAGTCCAGGTAGTCCTGGAAACCATGGATATAGCAGTAACCACGAGGGTTATTTCTCCATTTTTTTTCAGACCATGTGATTCTAGTTAGATTTTGCACAGGAAAGAGTTTGCATTAACATCCGGATTATGCTTCTGAGCAGTCCAATGGAATGATTGTTTTTCCTATGATATGAAGCTATATAATCACATTCACACATTCACAACTAGTACTTTTCAAACAAATGGAAACAAGGCTAGTTGACTTCTTCCTACCTGTTGACTTTGGTGAAAGGATGCTCTAGTGAACACAGCTTGTGTCTAAAACCTAAATGATTAATGTCATTTCCGAATCCCATATTCGTTTGTTCTAGAGTCATATACAATAATATTCATACCAAGTGTGGTCAGAAATAAAAATGAGATACAAATACAGGGTGTTCCAAAAATCGTTCATAAAGTTTCCATACATAAGGTAAATGGGAAATTGTAGGTAAATGTACTTTTGTTTGCAAAATCTCATTATAGAATTTTACAAAATATTTACAAAATATTTAGTACACATTGGCCAACTATTTCCAAAGTTTCCTACTGCAAATTTTATAAATCAAGGTGTATTTAGTTATAATTTCCCATTTTACCTATGTATGGTGACTGCATGGGTGACTTTTGGGACACCATGTACTTTATTCCTGTAGATTTCCACATATCTAGGTTTTATGGAGTAATAGAGAGGGTAGAGAGGGACCAAAATAATTCAGATAAAAGTCATTAGCACTGTCAGTTTCACTTGGGCTCAGATGACAGAGTCTGTTCTGTGTTCACTGTTTATCCCCAATGCCTGGCGCTTAGTAAGTGCTCAGTGAGTATTTATGTGTTGATTGCTGGGAGAATTTGTGCTTTCTAGTCCTTCTGCAGAGAGGAGTCCTTCTGAATGCAAAAGGCTGATGTAGCCCAAGTGGCCAACAAGGGAGTCTTAGCCTAGAGGCTGGCAGTGACCAAAGGGGACAGCTGAAAGGGGCTCACACTG